TCTGAGGATGATTACCTGGGAAGGAATCCCACGGGAGCATTGCAGCGCACCCAAATCCCTGGGAGGAGTCACTCTGGACCGTGCTCTGACCTACAAGGAGCACTGCCTGAACATCGAGCAAAAAGTGGGTGCTAGAAACAATATCACACGAAAGCTGACTGGCACAACCTGGGGATCACAACCAGACACAGTGAAGACATTTGCTGAAAACGATGACTTCTTTTGATCTTGATTACTATTCTCCTTGGGATGCGGATGAGAATCGCATTAGTTATTGAAGCTGCCACAACGTACTCTTGGCTCATGTTCATCTTGGACTGTGGCTTTAAACCCGTTTCAGTGCGTAATGTGCAAAAAGAAGGAAAGAGAAGAGCTTGCTTTTCATTCATGCCTCCATCTATATACTGTATATCAGTGGTTCTCAACCTGGGGGTCGCAGCCCCCAGGGGGGTCGTTTGGCCATTTCGGAGGGGTCTAATAATATATCTATATCTTCTATAACCATAATAACAGTGCAAATAATATATGTACGTGTCTGGTTGGGGTGTCCACTTACACAGACAAGCTCCTGCCTCCACAAATAGCTATAGCTCCCACTAAGGAGACACCAATGGCCCTCCCACCAATGACAATGCAGGTTATGGCGAGCGCCACAAACATGTCCAAGAGCCCCGCCAATGTCTTCCACAAACGCCATCCTGCCTACCATGCAAGAATAGGGACTATTCCATCCTAGATTTCATGTGTTTCCTCCACCACAGACATCCCAGTGTTTCTGACTCTCTCCATTGTGGAATTTGCATGACCCCGCCCACTGTCCCTCCCTTAACCCTTTCCTATTCTTTTCTGTGGCACACAACAAGCAGAGGGATCGATAAGCAACTCAACATATACTTGATTCCACAGCAATGTGGCTCTTAATGAGACATGCTGCATTATCACAGGGTGTCTGCGCCCTACACCACTGGAGAAATTACACTGCTTAGCCGGTATTGCACCCCCTGACATCCGCTGGGAAGTAGCAGCCAATAGTGAAAGGACCAAGGCAGAGACATCTCCAGCTCATCCCTGTTTGGGTATCAGCCAGCACGTCAACGACTTAAATCAAGACATAGTTTTCTTAGATCTACAGAGACACTCGGTGAAACACCTCAGCAAGCGAGAGTCCAAAAGTGGCAGGCTCAAACCCAGAACCTCAACCAATGGCTGATACCAAATGAGAGACTCCCCCCTGGGCACACAGAAAACTGGGTGACTTGGAAGGCACTGAACAGACTGAGCCAACCTTCAGAAATGGGGCTACAAAGTGGAGTCCACGACATGCGAGTGCGGAGAAGAGCCAACCACTGACCACCTGCTGCAATGCACCCTGAGCCCTGCCACATGCACAAGGGAGGACCTCCTTGCGGCAACACCAGAGGCACTCCAAGGGGACAGATACTGCTCAAAGGACATTTAATCAACTACCAAGTGTTTTGTTTGTTTGTTTGTTAAAAATGCAACACAACTGTTTGGTCTGCTCCTGACATGAGCAGGTGACCAGGCCCAACAGGGCAAAGATAATGAGCTATCTGGCCTTGAAGACAGTGGAGACCTGATTAGACAGGACCGTTTACAATTAAAGAGTTCGCAGAAGCGAAAGCCTTGACAACAAACGTGAAGCTAGAGGTCAACGTAATGCTTTCATGTTAGCAGAACATATTTAATGATCCAGTCGAAGGGCGTTCTTTGTCAGTCCAATGTTGCATATACCCTGTTAACTTCTGTGGAAATACCTTGGCTTTTTGCAGAAAGCTTCTTGCTCTTTGGGACTTTGGTTTTGATCCTGATTTTTGGAGACCTTGTCTTGCTGCTATGGACTCCTGTTTTACCAATTCTTAAGGACTATTTCTTTATTTATGATTCAAACTTCTATGCGGCCACTCCCCTGGGGCTCGGAGCGGCTTACAAGAATGACTAAAATCTAACACAATTTAAAAACAATTTAAAACAATTTAAAAACAGCAATATCAACAACAACAGGTATGTCTGACATGCCCTGCGGAAAGCTGATAAGTCCCGCAAGGCATGGACTTCAGGTGGCAGAGTATTCCAGAGCGATGGTGCCACTGCTGTAAAGGCTCTGCGCCTGGTTGCTGTTAGACGCAAGGTCTTGACACTGGGAATTTCCAATAGATCTTGGTCCTCAGAACGGAGGGATCTGTGGGATTGGGAGGGGGTGAGGCGGTCCCTCAGGTACATCGGCCCCAGACCATGCAAGGCCTTAAAGGTGAGTACCATCACTTTGAAAGTGATCTGGTGCTCAATTGGTAACCAATGCAGCTGTAGTAAGATTGGTGTTATGTGGCATCTCATCGGAATTCCTGTAAGAAGCCGAGCAGCTGCATTTTGTACCAACTTGAGCTTCCGGATCACCGACAGAGGAAGGCCAATGTAGAGGGCGTTACAGTAATCCAGTCTTGAGACAGGACCGTTTACAATTAAAGAATTCGCAGAAGCAAACACCTTGCCAACAAACGTGAAGCTAGAGGTCAACGTAATGCTTTCATGTTGGCAGAACATATTTAATAATCTGATCGAAGGGCATTCTTTGTCAGTCCAATGTTGCTTATACCCTGTTAACTTCTGTGGAAATACCTTGGCTTTTGCAGAAAGCATCTGGCTCTTTGGGACTTTGGTTTTGATCCTGATTTTTGGAGACCTTGTCTTGCTGCCATGGACTCCTGTTTTACCAATGCTTAAGGACTATGCTTCGTGTGATTTGCCTCTGGATTTTGGGAACTTTGCCTTTGCATTTAAGACTCTATTTTGCCACTCCAAGTGGCCAGCTTCTTGTCAAAGGACATTTAGTATAATGCCAAGTTTTAAATTTTGTTTGTGTTTTTAAATACATTATAACTACACTCTCGATTCGCTTCTGACACAATAAATTAAAAAAAATTATTGCATTATCCATTATGTTACACATTTGGGTCCAAGAGATATGCTATTTAATTATTCAGCACCAAAAGATTGGGACTCTCTCTCTCTCGCAGCAAATAGTCATTACGGCTCATTATTCTCCCAGAATTTTCCCATTTCGTCGGCACAGACAAAACCCTCCAAAGTCGTTTGACTTGATGTTTATGCACCACAATCCTTCTCTTAATGGCAAAAACTGGCTCAAAGCACAAGTTAGAACTTATAAAGACATGTTGTTCCTTGTTAGGATATAAAGGAGAAACCAAAAAATATACATCCTGTAATAGAACACGTTCATTTTGCAAGGATTCTCCGTCATGAACTCCTCTTTCTTCTTGTTCCCAAACAAATACAAAACGGACCCAAATTGAACAATGTTTGTTTGTTTGCACTGCAAAGACTCTTACATAATGTGACGGAGCGAAACCCAACTTGATACATATTATCCGTCATGATCTAACTTAAAATACTAGTGCTGCTTCAGCAATAAAATCCACACCATTCTGGGCTAAAAGTAGAAAATAGGATTAGAAAGGATTAGCTGCTGGTCTATAGGTTTGTATGTATGCACTGACCAGACACGACCACAAGGGGGCAGTATATATAGATAGGCAGGATTAGTGACTGACCTCTAGGTGATCATGTGCAGCCACAAGAGGGCAGTATATATATATATATATATATATATATATATATATATAAAGGGGATATTTATGCAATGGGACACATATACAATGGGACAGATATGCAAGGGGACACATATGCAATTGGACATAAGAGGGCAGTATATATATATATATATATATATATATATATATATATATAGAAAGGATTAGCCTCTAGGTCTGTATGTATGCAGTCACCAGAGGGCTATATATAGATAGAAAGGATTAGCTATAGGAATGTATGTATGCAGTGCTCAGCTGTAACCATAAGAGGGAAGTATATACAAAGAAAGGATTAGCTTCTAGGCCTGTATTATGCAGCGCTCAGCTGTAATTTATTTATTATTTATTTATTAATAACCATAAGAGGGCTGTATAAAGATAGAAAGGATTAGCTATAGGAATGTATGTATGCAGTGCTCAGCTGTAACCATAAGAGGGCAGTATATACAAAGAAAGGATTAGCTTCTAGGTCTGTATTATGCTCAGATGCAACCATAAGAGGGCAGTATATACAAAGAAAGGATTAGCTTCTAGGCCTGTATTATGCAGCGCTCAGCTGTAATTTATTTATTATTTATTTATTAATAACCATAAGAGGGCTGTATAAAGATAGAAAGGATTAGCTATAGGAATGTATGTATGCAGTGCTCAGCTGTAACCATAAGAGGGCAGTATATACAAAGAAAGGATTAGCTTCTAGGTCTGTATTATGCTCAGATGCAACCATAAGAGGGCAGTATATACAAAGAAAGGATTAGCTTCTAGGTCTGTATTATGCTCAGATGCAACCATAAGAGGGCAGTATATACAAAGAAAGGATTAGCTTCTAGGTCTGTATTATGCTCAGATGCAACCATAAGAGGGCAGTATATACAAAGAAAGGATTAGCTTCTAGGTCTGTATTATGCTCAGATGCAACCATAAGAGGGCAGTATATACAAAGAAAGGATTAGCTTCTAGGTCTGTATTATGCAGTGCTCAGATACAACCATAATAGTGTGGTATATAGATAGACAGGATTAGCCCCTAGGTCTGTATGTCTGTAGTGCTCAGATACAACCACAAGATGGCAGTAAATACATAGAAAGGATTAGCCAATAGGGATGCATGTACGCCACAGAAATGTGTATATCCATTAGTTTTCTATTAATATCAAGAACAATGCAATTTTGCACCACAGCCTTAGAAGGGAAACGCTGCAAGTTGCTGGACATCGCAATCCTCCACGGAAACAACATGGCTGCCACCACCAATCAGCTTCCGTTGCATTGACTCAGTGCCACAACTGACGCAAAATGCCCATTGCGATCGCGACCAGCACACCGGACTCAAAGGCAAGAGCGACGCAGGTCCGACCCGCTTGGCTCCTACCTCCACTCCTTGCACCTTCAGCTTCATGTGGTCCTCTCGGGTGGTCTTCCCGTCTTTCCGCTTCTTCCAGCAATAGCCATCCTTCCTGTACTTCACCTTCTTCCTGTTGTAGAGGATCATAGAGCCATTCTGAGGCCTGACAGGGACAAAGGAAAAAAAGGAAAAGGCTGTAAACAAATTAGGTAAATAAATACATTCAAAGAAAATCTGCTACAAAACAGGAGCTTTTTTGCTGAGTTTCAGAATCAGAAAAGAAGGAGGAGGAAACAGAAGAACGGCCTGCCTCCGGGGAGAGCGCTTACTTCCCCGGCAGCTGAATAGATTTCAAACTTCTTCTCCGTTCCTTCCAGGTCAAAATTTCCTTTTTTTTCTGTGTAATTTTAAAGATGAATAAATACACCCGATATCTTTTCACCTGAGAAACGTATTTTTCTGGCATTTTTTGTCAGTTAAAAGTACTAGGAAATGGAGACCACAGAGATGCTGTTCTTGCATGGCATCTGAAGGAAAAGAGAGAAGGAAGGAAGGAAGGAAGGAAGGAAAAGAGAAGTATGAAAGGGAAGAGAAGGAAATAAGGAAAGGAAATAAAGGAAAAGAAAAGGAAATAAAGGAAAGAAGGAAGGAAGGAAGGAAGGAAGGAAGGAAGGAGGGAAGGAAGGAAGGAAGGAAGGAAGGGAAGAAAAGTATGAAAGGGAAGAGAAGGGAAGGGAAGGATGGAAGGAAAGAAGGAAAACAGATACAAGTGAGAAAAGGAAGGAAGGAAGGAAGGAGGGAAGGAGAAGAGAAGTATGAAAGGGAAGGGAAGGGGAGGGAGGGAGGGGAAGGGAAAAAGACAAGGAAGGAAAGGAGGAAGGAGGGAAGGAGGAACAGAAACAAGAGAGAAAAAGAAGGAGGGAAGGAGAAGTAGAAAAGGAAGGGAAGGGAAGGAGGGAGGGGGAGGAAAGAAGAAGGAAGGAAGGAAGAAGGAAGGAAGGAAGGAAGGAAGGAAGGAAGGAAGGAAGGAAGGAGGGAAGGACAGAAGGGAAGGAGGGAGGAAGGAGGGAGGAAGAGGAAGGAAAGGAAGGGAAGGAAGGAAGGAAGGAAGAAGGAAGGAAGGAAGAAGGGAAGGAAGAAGGAACAGAAACAAGTGAGAAAAAGAAGGAAGAAGGAGGGAAGGAGAAGAGAAGTATGAAAGGAAGGGAGGGAAGGGGAAAACAGAAGGAAGGAAGGAAGGAAGGAAGGAAGGAAGAGAAGGAAGGAAGGGGAAAGGAAAAGGAAGGAAAAGAAGGAGAGGAAAGGAGGAAGGAGAAGAGAAGAGGAAAGGAAGGAGGGAGGGAAGGAAAACAGGAAGGAAGGAAGGAAGGAAGGAGAAGGAAAGGAAAAAGGAGAAAAGAAGGAAGAAAGGAGGGAAGAAGAGAAGAGAAAGGAAGGGAAGGGATGGAGGGAGGGGGGTGGAAAGACAGAAGGAAGGAAGGAAGGAAGGAAGGAAGGAAGGAAGGAAGGAAGGAAGGAAGGAAGGAAAGGGAAGGAAGGAAGGAAAGGGAAGGCAGGGAGGAAAGGGAAGGCAGGGAGGGAAAGACGGAAAAGAAAGACAGAAAGGAAGGAAGGGAATGAAAGAAGGGAGGGAGGAAGGACGGATGGATGGATGGACGAAAAGGGAGGGGAGGGAAGGATGGATGGATGAAAAGGAAGGAAAGAAGGAAGGGAAAGGGAAGGGAGAGAAAGACAAAAAGGACAGAAAGAAAGAGAAACAAAGAATGACAGGAAGGAAGGAAAGAAAAGGAAGGAAGGAGGAGGGAGGAGGGAGGGAGGGAGGGAGGGAGGGAGAAAGAGAAGAGAAGGAAGGAAGGAAGGAAGGGGAAGGAAGGGAAGGAAGGGGAGAAGAAAAGGAGAAAAGGGAGGGAGGGAAGGAAGTAGGGAAGGAATAAATGCGAAAGAAAGGGAGGAGGAAGGAAGGAAGGAAGGAAGGAAGGAAGGAAGGAAAGGAGGAGGAGGGAGGAGGGGAGGGAGGGAGGAAGGAAGGAAGGAAGGACAGAAGGAAGGGAGAAAGAAAAGGAAAAAAGGAAAAGAAAAGGAAAAAAGGAAAGAATGAAAGAAGGAAGGGTGGAGAAAAGAAAAGGAGGGAAAGAAGCGAAGGAAGGAAGGAGGAAGTGGAGGAGAGGAAAGGGGGGAGCGCAGACTTCCCTCGGAAGAGGCCGCGATGCCTCAGGCAGAGCAGACAGGAGCCGTGGAGATGGTTGCAAAAATTTATCGAAGGGCATTAGTCACAGTAATTTGGCTTTGGAACACCAAGAACAGAAAGAAATACAACAACAGGAGCAGCAGTTGCAGCAATAAACAACTTTTGCGGGGAGAGAGGAGGAGGTGGCAGCAGTTGCGGGCGTAAATCTCCCGAAGTTGGGGAAGTGGAGCAGGAAAGGAGGCTGCGGGTGAGAGGAAGGCCAGCTCCCCCGGGAAAGGAGGAAGTCAGAAACAAGACCCAGCTCGGTCCTTCTCGGAAGGAAAGAAAGGAAAGAAAGGAAAGGAAAGGAAAGGAAAGGAAAGGAAAGGAAAGGAAAGGAAAGGAAGGAAGGAAAGGAAGGAAGGGAAGGGAAGTTAAGGAAGGAAAGGAGTGAAAGGATGAAGGAGTCATGAAGGGAAGGGAAGAAGGAAGGAGGGAGGCAGGAAGGAGGGACGGAAGGAAGGAAGGAAGGAAGGAAGGAAGAGGAAGGAAGGAAGGAAGGAAGGAAGGAAGGAATTAATGGATGGTAGGAAGATGGCAGGAAGGAAATACAGAAGTAAAGGAATGAAGGGAGGAAAGAAGGAAAGAAGGAAGGAAGGAAGGAAGGAAGGAAGGAAGGAAGGAAGGAAGGAAGGAGAAGTGAACGAAGGAAGGAAGAAGGGGAAAAGAGAGGTGAAGGAAGGAGACATGAAGAAAGGGAGGGAGGAGAAAGAAATGAAGGAAGGAAGAAGGAAAAAAGAAGAAGGGAAGGAAGGAAGGAGAAGGAAGAAGAAGGAAGAGGAGGAAGGAAGGAAAAGGGAAGGAAGGAAAAGGAAGAGGAAGGAGAGGAGGAAGGAAGAGGGGAAAAAGAGAAAAGGAGGAAAGGAAAAAAGAAGGAAGGGAGGGAGGAGGAAAGAATGAAGGAAGAAGGAAAAAAGAGAGAAGGGAAGGAAGGAAGGAGAAGTGAATGAAGGAAGGAAGAAGGGAAAGAGAGAGGTGAAGGAAGGAAGGAGACATGAAGGAAGGGAGGGAGGGAGGAGAAAGAAATGAAGGAAGGAAGAAGGAAAAGAGAGAGAAGGAAGGAGGGCAGAGAAGGAAGGAAGGAAGAAGAGGAGGAAAGGAGAAGGGAAGGAGGGAAGGGGAGAAGGAAGGAGGGAGGCAGGAAGGAAGGACAGAAGGAAGGAAGTGATTAATGGATGAAGGGATGGATGGATAGTGGGAGGATGGCAGGAAGGAAAGACAGAAGTAAAGGAATGAAGGGAGGAAAGGAGGAAGGAAGGAAGGAAGAAGGGAAGGAGGAAGGAAGGAAGGAAGGAAGGAAGGAAGGAGAGGGAAGAAGAAGAGGGAAAAAAGAGAAGGAAGGATGAAGGGAGGGAGAGAGGAGAAAGAAATGAAGGAAGGAAGAAAGAAAAAAGAGAGAAGTGAAGGAAGGGAGGAGAGGAGTGAAGGGATGAAGGAGTCATGAAGGGAAGGGAGGGAGGCAGGAGGGAAGGACAGAAGGAAGGAAGGGATTAATGGATGGATCGATGAATCGATGGATGGTAGGATGATGGCAGGAAGGAAAGACAGAAGTAAAGGAAGGAAGGGAGGGAGGAAAGAAGGAAGGAGGGAAGAGAAAGAAGTGAAGGAAGGAGGGGGAAGAAGAGAAGTGAAGGAAGGAAGGAGACATGAAGGGAGGGAGGAGACAGAAGTGAAGGAAGGAAGGAAGGAAGAAGGGGGGGAAAGAGAGAAGTGAAGGAAGGAAGGAAAGGAGTGAAGGGATGAAGGAGTCAGCAAAGAAGAAGGAAGAAAGGAAGGAAGAAGGGGATGGATAGATGGATGGATGGATGGATGGATGGATGGATGGATGGATGGTGGAGGATGGTAGGAAGGAAAGAGGAAGTAAAGGAATGAAGGAGACATGAAGGGAGGGAAGGAAGGAAGGAAGAAGGAGAAGGAGAAGGAGAGAAGGAAGGAAAGAAAGGAAGGAAGGAAGGAAGGAAGGAAGGAAGGAAGGGAAGGAAGGAGAAAGAAGGAAGGAAGGAAGGAAGGAAGGAAGGAAGAAGGAAGGAAGAAGGAAGGAAGAAGGAGAGGGAAGAAGAAGAAGGAAAAAAGAGGAAGGAAGGAAGCATGAGGGAGGGAGAGAGGAGAAAGAAATGAGGAGAGAAAAAAGAGGAAGTGAAGGAAGGAGGGGGAAGAAGAGAAGTGAAGGAAGGAAGGAGACATGAAGGGAGGGAGGAGACAGAAGTGAAGGAAGGAAGGAAGGAAGAAGGGGGGGAAAGAGAGAAGTGAAGGAAGGAAGGAGTGAAGGGATGAAGGAGTCAGCAAAGAAGAAGGAAGAAAGGAAGGAAGAAGGGGATGGATAGATGGACGGATGGATGGATGGTGGGAGGATGGTAGGAAGGAAAGAGAGAAGTAAAGGAATGAAGGAGACATGAAGGGAGGGAAGGAAGGAAGGACAGAAGGAAGGAAAGAAGGAAGGAAGGAAGGAAGGACGGAAGGAAGGGGAGACAATTGAAGGAAGGAGACAGAAGTGAAGAAGGAAGGAAGGAGGAAGAAGGCATGAAGGCAGGGAGGGAGGAAAGAAGGAGAGAGAAACAAGGATGAAAGGAGAGAGAGGGAAGGAAGGAAGGAAGGAAGGAAGGAGGAAGGAAGGAAGGTAAGGAAAGGAGTGAAGGGATAAAGAAGTCAGCAAAGAAGGTCAGAAGGAAGAAAGGAAGGAAGAAGGGGATGGATGGATGGATGGATGGATGGATGGTGGGAGGATGGTAGGAAGGAAAGAAAGAAGAAAAACAATGAAGGAGACATGGAGCAAAGGAAGGAAGCACAGAAGGAAGTAAGGAAGGGGAGACAATTGAAGGAAGGAAGGAAGGAGACAGAAGTGAAGGAAGGAAGGAAGAAGGCATGAAGCCAGGAAGGGAGGGACGAAAGAAGGGGAGACAAGCGAAGGATGAAAGGAGAAAGATGACAAGAAAGGA